TTCAAGTCAAGTAGTTGTTTCAATCTAGTTGTGGAAGGCACAGCTCAGCTCCAAGTCCAGTCTCCATTTTTAATCTAGTTGCAGGGGGTGCAGCCCACCATCCCATGGGGGAATTGAACCCGTAACCTTGTTCAGAGCACACGCTCTAACCAACTGAGCCACCGGCAGCCCTCTAGTACGACTTTTAACTTGAATAAAAAATAATTGAGTTCATTGATGGAATTCTAATATATAGCAATTAAGCTTCATAGTGCTTGGAATGTTCTGGTTCCTTTTTTAAAAGCAAAGAAAACATTAAAGCTTTCAAAATTTCAGGATATAGTATTTCAGTCACATGTTCCTAATACAGTTCTTTTATTAGTCTGAAGTACTATGTGAATTCCCAGAATGCAACACCCAAAATCAAATAAAATACAGACGCATCCCAAAGTAAAAATAGGCTATTTTAAGACTACCCAATAATTTAATTTTCATGTTATTTGTCCCTAACAAAATCTTAAGGGAACATACACAGTATCTTGAAATTTCACAAAATTATTATTTTTCTTGGGCTGCGCATCCGTATTTTTAAATTTTTTCCTTAATAATAGGATTGAGAACTTAGTGAACCAGAAGGTCAAATGGCCTGACTGTCCGTTACCTAGCATCTATATGGGGAAGACAGAGGGAAACCCTGAATAGGGCACCTATTTTGCACATAAAAAGTGCTGGGAAGATTTTTAAAAATATGCCCAGGATTCATCTGCCAGAGAGTCTGATTTGCCTAAGCATCTGTAGTTTTCAGAACTCCACAAGTGATTGTAATGTGCAGCCAAGCTTGAGAACTATGGTGTACACAGAAATGTTGTTCCGTTATTTTCTCCTTATGAGCTGAATAAAAATAAGTTATTTTTTAATAAAGGAATTAAGTAGTTATAAATAGTATCAACAAGGAATTAGAACATTTTCCCAATGGAAAAATCAAGAAACTATATAATGGATTTGTGTATCTAGAAATTTACAAGAGCAAAGCAAAGTATAATAAATTCTTAGATGTACTTTACAAGCTGTATTCAATGTAATAATGTTTGCAAATGATCTAATCAAGCCCACAGGCAAAGCGGTAACTGGTATTCCCCTGGTCCCTGGTTTCCTATCTAAAGGTGATTAAATATCCAATGGCTTTTGCTGATGTGAAAAATTAAGAAGGGATGAGCAGTGTTTATCATGCTACTTAGTGCATTTCAAAATATTTTGCCTTTAAAAGTTGAGTCCCTTGGCTTCTCCTCTGTGTGATTTATTGCTTGTTAACATACTTGACTTTTTGTTGGCATTAATACAAGTTCTATAGGGAGAAGGGTGACATGTTAGAAAATGAAGTTTATAGATCCTGTGTAGATTCCATTTTTCTGGTATATTCATGGCTCCATTAGCATGAATAGTTAAGAAGCTCCTGTATCAAAATAAAATATTAATTATACATTAAAATATATGAAGCAGCTGGCTAAACAGTGCCATTTCTATGATAGCCTGAATTTTATCACTGAAACTCATATAACTAAAGTCACACCCTTTACATAATATTTATTCTGTATAGGATTTATCCACATACAATGATGTCAGCTTTAAAACAATTGTTATTTGTATAAAATCATCTTATAAAATAGAGTAATACACAACACACCTTAGTGAATTAAGCTGATATTCCAGGATTCAGAAAATTGGATCATTGTAATTTCTATTTTTGCCTGCGTTTCACTGGGTTGACTTAGGTAGGTTGCTTTACTGTTCTGTGCCTCAATTTCTTTAACTTTCATGTGGGATAACTCCTATTTCATAGATATGTAAAGAGTAACAAAAATTATTAAATACTTTGCAAATATAAAATGCTATATAAATGATAAATAGAAATACTGATCCACTCTAATATAAAATAACATAGAACTTTCCACTTATAATCTAAAGTTTGGTCCTCCAGTACCTATTATCACCTTTCCCAGTTAACCAAATCTTATGCTGTACTGTTTTTAGTGATTTTCCATAGTATTAATTTTAGGACTCAAAAAATATGTCTATATAAACAATATGAATGGAAATTTCAATATATCTTAGCATGACTTGGCAAAATAACCAATGAATTGAGTTCTGAGCCCATAAGTAATTAAAACAAGAACTTTTTTCATCCATTAAGCACTAACTTGGGCACAAAAAAAGCGTACTATGTTTGTTTTGACTTCACTCAAAAATACAATATTGAAAAATGTGTTCTTAAAAAGTCTTAAGATATGATAACTATAGAAGGAAGACTATATAATGAGGATGTGATTTGCTGCGCTAAGAGACCCTATGATTACCGGCTTATAAATGCAGTAATAGGAGTAATGAAGTGAGACTATTATGCTCAAAGAGAATTCAAAAAGTTACTTAGTTCCAAGGTTTTCAGTGCTGTATTCCTGAGCTCTGCCAAGGTGCCTAGGGAAAAGCTCATAGGGGGCTTTAACCAAAGCAGCTTTGATTTTAGAGTTTCTCCTTTCAATGTTGAACTTCTCTATGCAACAATTCATTTGAAGAAAGGGTTTCTTGGATAAAAAACAATCTTTTAAGACACTGATCTAGTCTATTTTGCTTCCTCCAGATACTAGGCACAACTTCAGTGGTGGTTTATTTTCCCAAAATTTCATTCTGTCAACAAGACCTCTTGGGGACCAGAGTTAGAAGGGTGTTGTTCAGAAGCTGATAAACAGCACTCCTGCAACAGCAAACTGGTCTAACCAATTCCCATTATTTTCCAAATATTAAAAAAAATCCTTGGCACCAATAAAGCTTATATTAACAGATTATACTCCTAAAGCCTAAGAATTCAGTTTTCTCAGAAACCATTAAAAACAGTTTCACTCTAGAAAAGAACTGGTCTCTAACGTCTTAGGTACATATGATAACTGGAGTATTATTTACAACTTACAAGGATGTCGTGAATGTTCTTTTATGAAACTAAGATGATAGAACAGATGCGCTGACTAGTTTGGTGAACTTGATAGCTGTTTGGTGGGGATTGCTTGATGTTTGTGATAAACAATTATAAGAAAGCACTGACTATTTCTGCCAGGGCTCTGCAAGTGCACTGTGTTCCGTGGACTCTGCTGAAATGCATGCTGATGTATGTAAAGTCTGCGTGCAAAAGATAACAGCATAAAAGAACATGTAGATCATAAAGTGCATTAGAGTATTCACATGCGAGCACTACATTTCTATGACTAAAGCTCAAATCAGTCATTTTCCCTATTGGCTCCAATAACTAAAAATCAGATTATAATTTTGAAAGATGATGTTACCATCATCTGGTGAGACTACAGAATGACAAGTGTTCCCTCCCTCATTAGGATACAACTTAATTGTTAAGACTCCTAATTTAGGAACAGTCATGTTGAGAGAACAATGAACTCAATGCACACTATCCAGTCTTGAAGCAACTGGAAATTTACCATCAGAGGAATCTTGAAAAAGTCTTAGAATTAAATACCATAAAACAAAGTGGTTATTCATCTATTTATAATTTTTTTTAAGAAATTAACCATTTTAGCCCACAAATTGGTATCAAGGACAATCATTAATTAAAGAATAAGAGAAAATAACAAGAAGTATCATCTTGAGGTATGTCATGGCACTTAAAAATATAATACATGGAGCCTCTCAAAATTAAATTATATCAAACTTGTGATACCTTGCAGACACCTTTATGAAAGTCAGTTCTCTACTTCTGGTATTTAGATTTTATCTTTACAACTAAAATGCTCCAATTTAACTAATTTTGGAATGTTTCATAATTCATACAGGGGAAGAATTTAAACTTAACTTTGTATCCTAGGAGAAAAGTTTGTTCTGAAAAATTACATCAACAAGATATGCAAAAATGCTTAAAGTAGTTAAGAGAAAAACTTGTTCAAATAGTTTTATATATAAAATTTACATATAAATAATGACATAAAAACATGTCAATAGATACTGTAGGGACATTACTTAGCACTATTTGAATAAATCTAGTTAAAGATATTATATGTTGTTGAAGATGATTAAATTCTTCTTTCATACTTTCTAATTCTGATAGGCTTCTTTTTATAATTATTGCAGGTTGGTGAGGTTTGACTTCCATTTCATTTCAGTGGACAATACGGGGAGAAACGGTTGAAAGAGGACTGTTTAAAAGCAAAACTTATCCAATCCCCAGTCGCATCACTTAAACTTTCTGACCTTAATTTCCTCATTTGTAAAACAGACAATAATATTTACCTTGCTGATTAGGTGAGAAAATGTGCACGAGCACTTTACAAATAATATAGCAGTACATAAATGTTAGAAATTGCTCTTAAGAACTGGTAAGAACCTCCAGTTTTCTTGTTTTGGGGTTTTATTTTTCTTTAGAGAGGAAGAGAACTACATTGACAGATCTACAGACTGTCTTGACTTTTAGGCAGGATTAGTTTCCTGCTTTAAGAAAATGATATCTGTATATAATCTCTCATCAGCCTCCACTTTAAGTATTGTTTTTGTTTTTCTTAACAACACTGACATAAGAGTAATTTTTTAATGATAAAAAGTTCAAATATGAACCATTTTAAACATTTTAGATATGTCTTCTGCCATAATCCTAAAACATTTAGGATATCAGAATAACGATAGATAGTTGTGGATCTTAACAGCAAGCTTTAGTTCAGTCAGGATGGGTGCCTGACTCTTAGATGTGCTCTTTACTTGGTTTCCTGTGATAAGTCAATATTGATAGTTGATGTGTTTTTAAAACATCTTGAAATTATATATAAAGTTTGGTTGTGGTAAATTTATTTCAAATACTTTTTGAAAACGGTTTTTTGCTAAGTAGATAGATCTCCCATTATTAAAAGCAAAAAGGTATTTCTGTAATAAAAGTAACAGGTTTAATTGTTCATCATGCCAACTCAAGCTAGGCCTTTCTTTCCAGTGCAGCAACATATGTTAGGGCAACAAAGTTCAGAACGGATACAGAGGCCTGTTCAGAAAGCATGCAAGTGATATCTGGTTAGTCTGGTAATTTGTTAACCAGACCCTGACCGTGGAAAGAGAGAGACACAGGAAGTCAACGTAAGTTGCAGACATGCCAGCCCTGTCAGTTCACATGACAGCTACCTAATGTTGGGCTTTATTTCTTTTTCTTCTTCTTCACTATCATCAACCTGTTGTATGACCAGATCGGAAGACCCATCCTCTACAATCTCTACATACGACCTATTCTCGTCTTCACTCAAGTGCCATTTGGAATCCTTATCTCCATCTGATGGGGACATAAGATGCTGTTCTGTTTCCAAATCAATGGGGAGGCTGTCTATGCCAACTTCAGCAAGGCACTCATTGCAGAGTCTGTAGCGCCTGGTTCCTTCCTGTACCACTTGACCTGTCACATCAGTCACGTGGCGTTTGCATTTCCTGCAGATTAGTTTGCATGCCTGGTGAATCTGCGTAGAGATTTAAATAGGGATAAAAAATGATTTTTCAAAAGCAAGACAGTTTGATATTCTAGATACCAGTCATAAACTTAAGATGTTCAAAGCCAAGCATTAATATTAATATCTGGTTATTTAAAAAGGATCACAAGTTTTGGTGATAAATATTAAACACCAGCTTTCTCTAAATAATGGCTATAATGTTTTTATGATTAATATCACATACTTAATAATTTCACATATCCCTTAATCCAATAGTATTATAATACAGAGGTAACAAGGGACAGCTTTTTCAGAATAATAATAATGGTACCATAATAATGGCAAACACTTAATACATGCCATGAATTACTTCACACATCTTAATTTGGGGGAAAAACCCCCTCATTTCACGAGGCTTAATTTTTTGTCATTTTGTTAGAAAAAGAAAAAAATATGGTCCCAAATTTAAATTTATCAAAAAATATTTTTGGTTAGAGGATTATCTGCCACTTTTATTAATGAAACATCGATCTAGTAGAAAGAGGACTGGACTAGGAACTGGAATGCTTGGGCTCTAGTCCTGGTTTTGTCATTTACTAACAAAGTAATTTAAACATTATAAACCTGCTTCCAGGTTGATAAGGTAAGGCATGCACAGCCCAAACAGAACAGAAGCCTGATTAATCAGAATGGACACTACCGTATTTGCCGGCGTATAAGACGACTGGGCGTATAAGACGACCCCCTAACATTTCCACTCAAAATACAGAGTTTGTTATATACTCGCCGTATAAGACTACCCCCTCTTCCGCACACCTTCCACACACCAAATAAAAGGTAAAACAATATCAGATTTGATTTCAACATTTATATTTATATTCAAATGCTTATGACATGCAGGAAAACTGTCACAAGGCTGTATGTAATCAAACATATACATAAATCGCGATTCGCGATTTTGCACTATCATACTGGGTGTATGGTCGGCTGTGTGCGATTTTGCGAGTGTGGTAAAATCGCATAACAGCAAAATCGCATAACAGCCGAGCATACACCCAGCAGCGCTGCTGATGCCTGAACGGTATGTGGAATGAAGTGGGCGGGCATCGGGAGGCCACTATGGCACGGGGCAAGCACTATGGGCAGTCTATCTGAAGTGTACCCGGCGTATAAGACGACCCCCCACTTGGAGGCATATTTTTCAGGGCCAAAAAATCGTCTTATACGCCGGCAAATACGGTAGTTATAAACCACCACCATGGTGGTTCTGTTACTTATCAGCCAGCCTATTTATCTCTGCCTGCTTCCTTATTACTAATGGGGATACAACTCAAGTTGTGAGGACCAAACGAGTTAATATGTGTGAAATGCTTTGGGAAAACAGTTGTAATTGATAAAGAATTATATATTACAGTTAGTAATAATAAATAACTTTGTTCAATAGCTGTCAGAGCAGTAGATTATAGGGTCTAATCTAAAAATGACTACAATTAATTATATAATACTGAATTAATGTTTATGGTATATTCATTTAGATAAAGTCAGAACAGTATGGAAATAGGCCACCAAACACAAATAGTAAAAAAACCCAAGATAAGTACTAATGCAGTCTGGTAAAATATCTAAGAAAATGTATGGGACGACCACTCAGTATAGTTATTGCCTTCAGCTTAAACACTGATATGTTAATCAGTAAATATTGGAAGTACACAATTTGAGTGTACCCTTATTTCTCCTAACATAGTAATCTTATGGTTATCATTTGTGGCATTGTTTTTGTTACCAAGTTCTGATCTCCCCCTAATTCCAATACAATTATGAAGTCAAAGAAATTAAGTGAAACGCTATAATGTTAAGGCTCAAAATTTACCGTGACCTCATTATTTAAAAAAATGTATATCGTTTAGCTCTGTTCACTGCAACAGTCTAAAAATAATGACACCCTAATAACAATGAGTACCCTGTGTCCAAATATTGGTTTCTAATTTTAGTCCCCATTCAAAGGAACCAAAGCTCCTTTGAGAAATGGCTGTTTCTACAATAGTTTTGTGGCAGGAAAAGTACAAGGTGAGCGTAAGGGCTCTTTGGAGCCAGAGAACAAGGACATTTTGAAAATTTAATGGAGTTGTGACAAAAGGACACAAAAGAGCCAGCTTCAAGGTGTCCCCACTGGACAAAACTGAAAACTGGAGTATCAAAAAGAGTAATAATTGTTACGGATCCAAACACAATGAATCAATAAAAATTCATGAGATCATATCCTATTTAAAAAAACAAAGCCAGATAAAACCTCATAAATCATTTGAGACTACTATTAAATCAACTCTTTACTTTGAAAACTGTTAAAGAATTAAAACATTTATCCTGTTTCTCCCTTAGGAACCCTATTTCAAAGTAACCAAATAGCCTCAGGTGATGAGGGAAAGCATTACTTTAGAGATTTCCAGCTAATAATGTAAAAGGAAGGATAAAATTAGAAACTCATTCCACAACTTCAAGTAAAATAATGTGAACAGAGATTACCAATTGGTGCCAATGCCATTAAATGAATGGTGGATGGGGAAAGGGATAGATGCATGATACTAAAATAGCTCCACACAGATTCCTTTTTAATAATAAGGCAGCACCTTAAGCTGGACAAGGGTGGAATCACAGTATCATCACCCTAATCCAGTGATCGGTCTTAATACGGATGATGGGTCCACCAGATATTATGTGTCTCCTAACGCAACATAATACGAAATATACAATTTCACTCTTGATGTTTTCTAGCTAAAAGTATGCAACTTGAATCCATTAAGGCTTTAGATAAAACTTCTAGTTTATAGAAAATGCAGTGGTGAGAGAGGAATAAGCTGAATGAAAACATGTGGAAGCAAGCAGAGAAATCTAGAAGTAGGATATTTTATAAAACAACTGGCTTGATACCTGTAGTAGGTCAGTGTTATGAAAAAGAAGAGGGTGGGGGAAATTATGCTAGCTTAAAAACATATTTAAGGGACCTAACAATGAGATGGAATACATGGTTCTGGTTTGGACAAACCAGCTATGAAAGGTATTTGAGTGACTATGGGGAAATCTGAAATTGAAATGGGTATTAAATAAAATTTTATTGAGATATAAATGTACAGACTGTTTACTAAAAAAAGCAAGTTACAAAACAGCATGTACAGTATGATCTTGTTTTGGCAAAAAAAAAATGCACATAAAAAGTATTAAGAATGGTAATATCTAGGTGGTAAAAATATGGTATTTTTTTAAAAAAATATTTTATTGGGGAATTGGAGGAGGGGAACAGCGTTGGAGAATCGGGGAAGGGGAACAGACAAGTTGCTGTCCTTTTGTTCTTCAGTCTAGTTGTGGAGGATGTCGCTT